TTTCGTTAGTCGTCAAGCACATGCAGTCACTTCCAAATGAGATAACACCCGTGTGCGCGAGACTAAGGATTGTTATCGCGACGCGAGTAATTGCATACCTCGAAAACTCGTATCAGCCGCGATAATTGAACTGCTCATACGAGAGAGAAGAGAAAAACGTCGATTCCTCGAGAGATGCAACAATAAACAATGCGACGAGAAAGCGTTCGGTAATGAGATCGTTTCACCGGCGCGCGTGAACTGAGAAAGAGAGAAAGAGAGAGAGAGAGACACGTACTCGACTGAATGAAAGTACATACACGCATACTCCCGTAACCATTCGACACGGCTCTTAAAACGATCGAAGTTGCTGCGCCAAGACGAAGACACAACCGAGAGAAGACTTTTCCGTTACGCTCACTCTGCCTACATACACACACACACACACACACTTGTGTATACCTGCTGCGTCCGCACCTCATGCATTTTACGGGCTTTGGCTTTCTCAATAAACTCAACTCACTCGCTGCAGCGTCGTTTTGGATTTGTTACGTGCTGCTTTAATTATTTAATTGTATGCCCTGCGGTCAGATACATCCATTATGAGTTCTACTTTGTCGTTTTATTTTTCCACCTTTGGACAAATTACATCCAACGATGATAACCTCTTTTAGCAAGTAATCTCATGCATAAAATCACCATCACCCGCGTGCTTATAGATGAATTTAATCAATTTCGAACAACCGTGGTGAACGATTGTACGTATTATCGAGCGAAACCAATAACCCGTGCGGTTCAGCAAAAAGAAAAAGAAAATCCGGTAGTACTTGGGGGTCAATTTTTGCAGCTCGAGCGCAGGTTTCTTAATGGAGAATCGACGTGCGCCTTAACGATCAGCAATATATATACAGTAATTCGATGCAGTGGACTAGATAAGGTGGGGATTAACGGAGTGCGTTAAACGGCAAGTGTTGTTCTTCTTTCGGATAGAATGACGATGATTCTTTAACGGAGCCGCAAAGATTTCACCTTGACTCTCTTGCGTCTGCCTTGCGTTCCCGCTGTGATTAAAAGCCTCACGGCTCCCATTCATACTAAACTCCATTTTTGCAGGATTCCTATACGAATTTGAGAGCTCGTCAATGTATAATAATTGAATTAATTAACTTGATTATTTTTTCGAAAGTTTCCGCAGCGAAAACCTAATTAGATTAATTAAACAGATGAATTTATTCGGCATCTGCCTTTTTTGCGGCAAATAGCGAGTTCTGGTGTAACGATTACGCGTAAAGTCTTTACATAATCGAATGACTGAAATCGACGTGTATGTCCGAAATAAAAACAAGAGAAAAGTATTTTCAAAGTGCTTTGAAATTTCGAGGCTGATCAATATATCGAATCATTATCTAAATATTGTAAATCTAGCAGCTCTCTCTGCATTCGTAACGAAGCGAGCCCCTCTCACGTTCTGCAGCGGAATGTCAACGAGGCGATTTAGCGTCCTCGAGAAAGCGAACGAGCTATCGTTTATGGAGTATCATCGAAAAAGCGAGCGTAGAAAAATTTCGGAAAATAAAAGATTTAAAATCCACCTCTCGATCGCGACCTTATAAAAGCTCATTGCGATTTCCGTTCCGCGAATTTCTCGCGTGGTGAGCCGAGTTGCAGGGAAAAGTGGCAAGTACACAGAAGCCGCGTCTAGCGGTATCAAGAGTTGCTCGTTCTAATTATTATCGTTCATCGAGCTACTGGCGATCAATGCCATGCGCGCTGTTGCTTATATACATGTAACTTTCGAGTTGCGCGCGAGTAAGTTCGCACCGCTGCTGCGACTTTATTATCAGCGCGAGCGTGTATGCTACATCGATTTCTTTTCGGCCGACATGCTCGAGTTGTAGCCAGACCGACTGACTTCCCGACTTGTTTTCCAATGCTCAGTTATACGATGCGTTTTATTTTTCGCACAAGAGGAAGCAATAAATTAGGATGAGCCGAGCGTTGAGCTTCTTCCTAGCGTTGCATAAGATTTAACTTCCTCGAACGTGTTCAATTCCATGCTTAATTTCTCATGATTAATGACGTATGAGTGTTTTCATTTTGTATACTAGTCTTGTTGTTGGACGAGCCAGCTTTTGTGTTGAAATTTCCGTGAATTTCATGAAAATTCTCGTTCAGAACTAAGCATACCAGCGTAATATCTATCAGCCGTAAGTGCTTCACTTAAGCCAGATTTGATTGCACGCGGTGCGTGAGAATTTCATAAGCGTTAGAACAATTTCTGCACCGTTGCAACACGCCGCACGACTTCGTAGTATGTGCGTGAATGCGTATAGATAAGGAGAAACAGCGTGAGAAATGTTTATTTCCAATCTCGATAGTTACATTCGTCGATTACGAACGAAAATTTAGATCTTATACTATTCAAATGGGACTAGTCACGAAGCTTATAAAATATTTTATAATTGCCGTAGTAATTACGCGATTGGTAATCGCATTTTAATTCGGTTTCATGTATGGAATAATTCATAAATTTAATTTATTGCAACGTCGTGATTGATAATATTTATGTAACTCACGTTAGGTCGTAAACACGTTGCAGCTGGATATTGAATTGTTCCAATAAAGCGGTAATTGGGACAATGATGGACATTGCAAAATGTCCATCAACGGAGGCATAAAAAGCCGCGCGCCGCGTCTTGGCGTGGCGCAAGAAGCCGAGGTGCTTCACAGGCACATCAATAACCAATTGCACGGCGCGCGAACGAGCCGCAGCCCCTTGGACCAGTGAAGAAAGCTCATCTCATCGAAAATAAATCACTCGCGCGTTAGCGCCCAGACGTGCAGAAGAAAGAGCAGCGGCGGTGGCGGCGGCACGTGTAGATCGGCGAATGTTTATGTCCATCCAAACGAGTCAACGGCCCGAAGCACGTAGCTATAGGGTTGCGCGTGCGTCTACGTCCTCCCAATTAGCCTTGGTTCTCTGTCCCTCGCACTGGGAGCGCAGCGACCGAAGACCGATCTGGCCCGCCAGTAATGAATTTAATTGTGTCTCTCGGTGCTCGCTCGCGCATTATCTGCCGCATTATCTCCGGAAGCCTAGACTAGCGCGCGGCTCTCCTCGGACACGCTCTATCCTCTCCTCCTGTCCTTTATCTTCGCCGATTTCTTCGATTTATGTTTTTGATGGTAGTTTATGGGCTGTCCTGAGAAACTGTTATAATGGCCTCTAAACCAGCGCTTTTATGCCTGGAATAGCGCGCCAGCTCGGCTAATTTATGAGCCGAGCCGGTCAAATTTGCGAATTAATGAGGCGCTTTCATCCGCTCGTCGAAACGCGAGCTTTCTCGCTGCGTCGAGGCTGCGCCCGCTAAAACAAAAACGCTCGCAGAAGCCAGGTCGGCACGCCAGCTCGTTTATAAACGCGCGGAACGGTTTTCTAGTCCGCTACAGATACGCGGAGCCTCGTGTGCATTGTTGCCGGCGTATCGCACCATCAGATAAGCCTTGATACCGGGAAAAGTGCCCGAGACAACCTAATAATCCGTCATTAGCGAGCTGACGCCCCGCGAATACGTGGAAGAAGTAAACGTTGCCGAAGTGACGGACGCGCTCACGCACCCCCGTCGCGCGCGAACGCACTGCGGGACGAGCGCCAAGTGCAATCGAGTCCGGTCGATGTGCCCGCGGCAGCGTGACGAGAGCTGGATATAACAGCTACCGCCCGGCGCGAGTTCCCTTTCCAGTGGGTGCCCATACGCGCTGGCGCGTTGTTGCCTCGCGCGCTTCCTCCGCGGCCGACGCACGCGCGCTCGCGCCGATCCGTTGCGACGTCGGATTCGTAATTGCCGCGATAGCTCGCAATCGGACGGATCGTCGCCGAGACATTAGCCCGCGCAGACCTTGACGTCAGCCCGAGGTAGGCAGCATTCGAAGAGGAGCAGCAGGAATCTCATAATTGACATCTCCGCTGGCGCCGGCATTCTTCTCTCGCGCTACTCTACCGACCAACCTTTTTCTCGGCAGCAACGCGCGATGAGCCCTTCTCCCCGCCACGAGCGAGTGATAGACGAGACGCGCTGCCGATCTTACGGTGGCTCACCTCCTTTTTCTCCCTTCGCTCCGGGAGAAAAACCTGTTTAGCATGCGCTCGTCGATGGAAAATTCTCGAAGGAGGGGTTACTGCCTAACGAGGCCGCGCGCTGTATTTATATGCTAATCGCGATGACATCCGCTGATTACGGGGCATTCGGGTTCGATAGACAAATGACGAGGGTGAGGCGCGACGAGGGAATCTCTGCGGCTGACTCATCGTATTCGCCGTCGGGACTGCACCTCGTTGCCGACGCTTCAAAATCAAATTTTCAACGTCGCGCGTCGCGGAGAGAGCAGAGCGAAAACGGTGAGCGCGTAAGGCGATACGCGGCGAGTCGGCTCGTTAATAAAGTTGCGGCTTAGGAATGCGCTCGCGTCGTTTTATTCGCTTGTTTTTGCATGCTGATCAGGTGAACGCCGCCGCCGCTGCCACCGCTGCTGCAGGCCGCGCCCAACGCAAGCCTCTACCACTGCGCTAATCTCGCGCGGCACTTTAGGCATTGGATATCGCTTAGCGGCTTCTAGTTTCGCGCTAGAAAATCGCGTCGCCCTTTCGCAAAGTGTTTCGACATCGGATTATCATTTCTTCCTTTTTTCTTCTCGCTCGCACATATATACGGCTATTAAGTGATCTCGCGTCAAGCCTTCAAATGGCAAACTAATGACGTTGCACACCAGAAAATACGAGCGATCGAATGCAGAAATATTATATACGTAGGAGGGTGAGAAACATGGTGCTCGCCGAACTTCAACGATTACGTTAAATTTTGCGATCGAAACAAGGCTACTTCATAGATTAAGTTTTAAAATATTTGAAGAGCACTTGAATGAACAATATTTGCCAACCGAGCAATGCGCACGTCAAGTGCAATTAAGCATGAAGCGCGGCAAACAGATCATGCGCATCCAATTAGAGGACAAGTACTCACCATGCGCACGTATTTGCTGATCATATCGGCAAGCTGCGCAGCCCGATTAGTGTGTAACGGCAGCCGCACCCCGGAAGCCACCTGGAGAGTGCAGACACCGGCCCTCTGACAGCTCGCAGACACGACCTCTTCGAGTGGCAGGGTATCCAAAATCACTAATTCGCCGCTGTTGCTACGCTTTACCAAACGAAGTCCGTGGTGCGATACTGCGATATGCTGTACGTCTGGATGTTGTGGGCCGATCTGCAATTCAATTAACGAAATTAACGAATGTAGCTTTCATGGACAGATGGATAGATAGATAGATAGAACTTAAAGATAAAAAAAAGACGATAGAACCACTAACCGACACTGGAAATATCCTGGCAAAATAAAGGGGCCACTGTCTAGCCATGTCAACGACATTCTTCTTGATGGTGATTTTGTGTTGAGTACTCTGCAGATTATCCAACGTAACCCCATAGTTAGCTAACATCTTGAGCATGTTTTGTCGATCCTCCTTCGAAATTCGGATGTTCGAAGTTGCAAGCACATCGTAGGCGACTTGACAGAATACTAGGTGCAGCGCAAGTGGCGTGGTCAAGGTTTCGTTCGGTGCGAAAACTTCTTTCTTGACACGCAGCGTCCACGTGACTCGATTGTACGTGAAATGGGTGTTCGATGCCTGGGGATAGAGTTTTGTGTCGACTATCTCCTGAACCTTTTCAATTTCTGGCTTGTCAGCTGGCGGCATGACCGGCTTCAAGAATTCCGGCCATTCCTCGATCTCGATGCGTTCCATTTTGTCAGTACGCTGTAACAATATTGGTATTCCCTTGTAATGAGTCTGCACATTGTTTGGATACTTTCAAGAGGTGTACTCACCAAAGTGGAAGCTACACTAGATCTGCGATCGGGATCACCGTCCATTTTCTTGAAACTCTGCCTCGCAACCGCAAACGAGTCTCTGGTGTTGGCCACCACTCCGATATCCCTCGATGACGGCATGCCAAAGCTGTCCCTCGACTTGGGCGAGACGTCGCGTGCCATACCGAATGGATCGCGCGAGTACTTGGTGTCGGCAAAGATGTCGGAGTTGAAATCGCGAGTAGTCGAACTTGCCAAATCCGTCATATCCTTTCCATGGTTGAACATATCGCGACTCTGATTGAACATGTCGCGTTGACTCTTGACAAATGCGTCGTAGGCTTCGGAATCCGGTGAAGCACGGAATGCCTTTGGTTCCACTGGCGCAGGTGGCGAACGCGGTTGCGGTACTCCGGGTAGGCTGCAAATTCATTGAGAATAATTGGATGATGCCACGTTCTTTTTTACTCGATTAACGTCCGAAGCGCCGGATGTGGATGAGCCAAGAACTCGATAGATTTTCATTTGTCAAAAACTGCATATCACGCCAAGTCTCTCTTTCTCTCTCGCTGGTGACTTCGTGCAAATTTTCATTTCGAATCGTAATTGGAACAAGCTACCGCGCGTGAACATGAACACTGGAAGGATCTACATCGCATTATACCGTATATGGCGAATCGTTGAGAAAAATATTCAATTACGACGCGAAGCTCTGCTTAACATAACTTAATGAATCGACAAAGTCGTACACAGCAGTGACAATTGTATCCAAATAAAAAGCACGAGACTGCACTGGTAGCGTATCGAAGTGTCGAGCACTAGTAGAGCTATACCTGTTGGCGAAGACACTTCCACCGCGGGGGCTCGGCGGCTGTGGAGGCGTGATAGGCGGCGGCGGTGGCACCGGCCTCTCCATGCGCTCGATTTGCGTCTTGACGACCTGGGCCTGCGTCATCATGTCGGTAGTGCCTTTGGAGGTGATGCTCTGCGTGTCGTCGACCGTTGAGGCGTAGTCGTCCCACCTTCCGCCTGCACACACACACGCGTCCGCGTGCATACACGTAAGACAAGGTGAAAGGTGTCGTTTGCTTTGCGTATTGGCCGGCCCGACTACACAATGGCCGTTTGTTGCGCGCGGATATGCACTTTCGTTTTCCGCTGCTTGAGCAGCAGCCGCCGCTGCACGACGTTCAGCTCATTGATGCCATCGAGCGACTCTCTTTTCTCTTTCGTAGATGGCATTTCAATGAGAGGAAATGATTTAATAATGACCCAATTTAAATACTAATTGCAACACTCTCCGCTTTAATATCGATGGTTTTCTTTCTTTATTGACACATGACATTCGATTCCTTATTCAAATGAAATTTTCGCCTTTCGTTCGGCAAAACTGGTCGAACTGGACCGAGCAGATTGATCATTGCAATGGAATGAATGATGATCTTATGCGCGATAAAGGCCGCCACAGTCGATCGGGGTTACGACAAGGTATATTATGCAAGACCTTCACTTTTTATTTACCTAATTGTTGCTCGAGAAGCAGCTTTCTACCATCTTCAAGGCGCTTGACCTTGCCGTCGTCGCGCAGAAGGGCAGGTTTCTCCGTAGTTTTGGTCGATCTGACACTGTGATTAGCCGTTACCTTCTCCAGCCTCTGACGCATCTCCGAACTTAATTTTAGTTTACCGATGCTGCCCGGCGTTGGTCTTTGTGCGCCAATTTCAAAGCCAGATCTGTAGAGTTATTCGCAGTGTCCAGTAAAGCGATTAAAAGTCGATTTGAGGAGTCGCAATGTTTGAATTAAAGTGGGAAGCCTTGTGCTCGATTAACTCGTTACGGCTTTCCAAGTCGCGTTAGCAGCTTTTGCGAAATAAAACTTTCCTTCGAGGAAAATTTATCTTCAAAGTATCATTTGCGTCATCGCATTAATTCTATGAAACATTTCAACCTCCTTCAAGTTAAATACATGTAAAATAATTACTAACTTTTTCTTTTTCCTCTTGTCGTTTTCCTCCTTGTAGCCGTTTTCGGGTCGTATGACACCGGCTGCCGCGTGAACGATCACGGCTCTCTCGTCGTTGTTAACGATATTTTCAATTTCAAACTCAGCCCACTCGACACTACCCTCGGTCATTGGCTCGGCGTCATTCTGGTATTCCTGATATTGAGGCGTGATTTTACGCATTTGATGTTGCTGACGCATCTTGAACTCGAAGAAGTTGTCTTGATTTTGTGGTTCGTTAGAATCGCTCGGTGGTGGCCACCTGTGAACGAACGACGAACAATTGATATATCGAAGATTCAACTTCCGTGTATTGTATTCTGATGGTCAAATGTACGCCGTAAAAGCTTACCTCCACTTTCCAATGCGAACAGTCTTCGCGCGGCCATAAGGATCAATGAATGGCCGGGACTCGGAAGGATCGTGCGATGCGACTGGCGGTGGCATCGGCGGTGGAGGTGGAACGCCCTTCGACGGATCGTCAACGCTGCTCTTTCTATTTTTCAGTTCACTTAGCACGCTTGTAAAGTTGCTCTGAGTATTAGGCTTGTTAACGCTGGGTCGTTTGACGTCGGTCGAGTTTACAATTTTCCGCTCGGCACTGATTTTGCGAGCACCAAAGTCAGCTGACTTTCTAGATGGATCAGCGCCTTTTTTGGGTGGACTTTGAGAACGGTGAACTTGAGCTTTTACGGTCACCATATCTTGACGTGCAGTGGATGCCGATGTTGACGTATTTGGCGTTGAAGTGCGTTTATCTTGTGCCCACATGTCACCGTCTTCATGGAATGACGCCTGCAAATATTTTAATAACTGAATAAAAATACTCTAGAATTTTTAAGAAAACTAAGGTTAACAAAGCAAAGTTAAAATTACTTACAGATTGGCTCGAGCTGTTAGGATTTTGAACCAACAACTGTTGCAAAGCTTGATTCTGAGCAAGAAGCTGCTGCTGAATCTGAAAATTCTGCGCCATCGCATTTTGTACGAATGCCCGTTGCAAATTCTGCTGGTACGTAGCGATTTCATCGTTCTGATTGGGGGGCGAATTTGGGAACTGCGGTATACTTGGTCCTTGCATATTGAAAATTGGCACTGGTACGAATCCCGGACCCATGTTGATCGTTGGGCTTTGAGGCGCTTGCACTTGCTGCGATCCGCCGAAAATTGGCATCATCATTGGCGAGGACATCATGGGACTGTAGTTGAAGCCACCGTTCTGATTTGGTATGTCCATGTTACCGCCTCCTTTGATTTTCATCGCTAGCTCTTTGGCTGTTATGGCAGTTGAGTTTTCTGGAGTATCTGCATAATAAAGTAAACCACGAACAATATAATTTATGCAATAATAATTTATTACTTCCTTACCTTTGATTAACAAGTCAAGAAAGTCCTCGGTAGTCTGTGGTTGAATGTTGGTAGCTTTTCGCATTCCCTTGATACTAGCCGCGAGACTCCTTGCATCGGATAGCTCGTCGAGATTTCCATCGAGCACCGGCATAAATAATTCGTCGAGGAATTGGTCAACATCGGATGCTTGGCTTGGAACTCGGACGCGACGCACGTGAGAAGCTAATGATGGCGCTTCGCTTGTGTCTGACATCGCTGATGATTTCACGCCATACTCGCTCTTCTCGATATAAGCACGACTTGATTGACTGCCGGGAAGAGCTCTCTTACCTAAAATTTGCAAATCAAATTGAGCAGTCTGGCGAAAGTTACAGGAACTTTAAGGCGCAACAGAATGAATAACTTACCTGAATACTGTGACTTAACAAATCTCGTCTGGGACCTGATATAGCTGCTCTTGTCATCTTCGGATCTGCCAGTCTGGCTAACCGACTGAATGTCCGGGTACTCGAAGTCAATCGGCAGATCTTCCTCTTCGAGAATATTAGGCTCAGAGCTTCTCGTAATCCTGCTGTACTTGCGTTCGGGCACAACTTGCACTTCCGATCTAGACATGTATTCGACGCTACCGACTGACGCTGCTACTTCGCCAATACGCTCGAGGCTGTGATAACGCTCGTTCAATTTCGACGAGGACAGACCAAGATTGGCGAGTTTGCTTACTGATGAAGGGCTCACACCCGGATTACTGATTTCAGCTTGCAAAAGATTATCTAGACTGCGGCTACGCTGCTTTTCTTTTTCAAAGTAGCGGTCGTTTAGAGCTGACTTGCGAGACAGGCCCATTTCGGCCGAGGATTCCAGGACGGCTTCATGGGATTGCTTGCGCATCTGGTTAATTAAAGGATAGATCTGCTTATATATTTCTTTCGAGATTACTGCAATTGATTGGTGCGTAAAAAAATTTCAAAAGCTAACAATTTTTAAATAGTATTTATCAAATAAAACGAAGGATATACATACGTATCGGATGAATAACTTGTACTATATTTTTTCGCGCACTGTCCTCATATTAAGAAACGAGTTTTATTTGCCTTTGAAAAAAGAAAGGCCCGGAAGATACGCGTATATCCGAGACAAAAGAGAAGAAAAGAACGGAATAACGTCAACGAGGTTCATCATGTAATTTAGAAATAGGCGAGACCCGCGAGAAAACAAGATATAAGAGACAAATCGCGCAAGAACGAGGAAGCCGCTGCCGAGGGGAGTTCAGCGACCGGCTGTACACGCCGAGTCCGAAATGGAACTCCTGAAAAGCGACTCTCGCAATGAGCAGATCCACGCGATCCGAACGATATGACCTAAGAGCTGCGGCTGTTGGCGTTGCATTTCCTACGTACGTAAGTGTGCGTGCAACGAGCGAATGGTTTCACTGTGGCTAGCCGAACTTTCGTCAGAGCTATCCGTCGTTATGCGATCACCAACACTTTTCGGGCACATTCCGAGACAGAAAAACGTCGTGCGGCACTGGACTTTCACCCGCGTGGTCGTTAATTTGGAAAGTGTGAAAGAAAAGCCTGGCACATTGCACGAGAGCACCGCAAAACGACTAGTAGGTGTGCGCTATATAGTCGCGTGCGCGTCAAACGAGAGCAGCAGGCAGTCTGCGGCTGCGCGTGTGAGTGTGAGTGCGTAGCTGCCTAGTAGTATAGCTAATGATAGTTACCGGTACTTTGGTGAGTGGCGGCTGGGGCGGCGGTACGCCGGGCCTCCTTGGCGATTGTATTTCCGGCTCGACAGGCTTGTCCGGTAGAAGTGTGAGTGGTTGCGGCGGCGACTGCTTCGGTGTCTTCCTCTCGAGTGGCTGGAATGTTTTGAGTATCGGCACCTCTTGCAGCGTCGGTGTTGTCTGCTGTTGCTGCAACACCTCCTGCTCTAGGTCGCGGATCACCTGCGCGTGCTGCGTGTAAACAGGACGATTCATAAGCCAACAGCAAGAAACTTTCTTTCCATTGTGCGCTTTGACTTTCTGCAGGGACCCGCGCGTCCGACACAGAGAGAGAGAGAGAGAGACCGATAATTAATTTGCGATCTCGTGCGTGTGAACCAGCGACTCGAGTTTAACTAGGTATTGTTGTTCACTGTGTTGCCTTTTTTTGTATTTTTTTTTCTTCTTTCGAAGCTTTACTGCTACTTTTCAATGTATAAGGTCGATCACACAACAAAGTTTCACTATTTGATGTGTTTAGTCAACTGAATAGCTTGTCTCTCAATTTTCATACTGTTTTTATCGTTTTTATGAGTTTGGCAGCAATGTTAATTGAAAAATCCAATCGATCCGTATGAGACTTTTTTCTCGTAAGTTCCGATCACGTTCAACGTAACAGTTGAAAATAATAATAAACCTCGGAGGGATTGTCACCGATAGCGAAAAGTGGAACGAGTTTTTCCTTTCAGTTTTATGTGCCGAAACTCATTTTTGACATCTCATGTGAGTCGTGACCTACTTTCAGCAAGTGCTTCACAGTCCATTAGAAAAAAAAATGAGTTGTTAAAATCAATCAGCGCGCGCGATGACACAATGTCCCACATAATTACACAAATGTCCGCACAAAATTCATTCTAATACACTGGCAAGAAAACATAAAGAAAGAACTCAATGAAGAAAACATTCACTTGAGCACTATTTAAATTGAAGATTTTCGTTAATTGAACATCGCAACCGATAATTTAAGGGGAAAAAGGAAGACGGCACACGTAGAGCCTGCGCGCGCCTCTCTTCGAGAGCGCGAGGCTCATATCCGGAGCGACTCATATTCGCGCGCTGGGCTGGCGTGCACGATCGCAAGCGAGGGGGCCGCTACGATTCCCACGCTCGTATTATCTTTCTCCCGACGTTTTCCCATTTCACCGCTACGGCGACGACGCTTTTTCCCTGTCTCGTACACACTCCCACACATTATCAGACGCACGTCAACCAATTCACCTCTCGCTTCTTGATAGGCGGAAAGCTGTTCTTGCGTTGTTCCAGGAACATGTGCTTGGCGGCCGGGAACGCCGGAGCTAGCTCCATCTCGGAGACGAGGTCAAGGACGTAATCGAAGCCGTTGGTCTCCGTGACGATCGCATCCGCGCCCTCCAGCTGGTTCCACAGACTAATGGTCCAACCACCGTTCTCCACTCCGTGATTCTGCACCGCGAGGTTAGCCAATTCCTCGCACGTCGTCCACGAGTCCACGGCGCAAGTTGTCGTCTCGCCTTGGTTAATCGATTGGCAATCGTTAACTCTAAAAGCGAGGCGGAATTACGGCGCTCGTCGACTTACCATCGTAGAATGCAACAGTGAGGGCCATGTTGACGCGGTTGCGGTTGGCTCGCCACTCGAGCACCGAAGGTGGATAGTTTCTTGGCACTTGTTGAACCGGCGTTTGACTGATGGCCAAGGCCTTCAGCAGAACCCTCTCACCTTGGAGAAGTTTGCGCTGGCAGTAAGCCTTGTAGCCGTCGTATGCGTGATCCGACACATACCTTGTACAGGAGAGAAATGGATGGTCGATCACACGCGGTTCTATTCACGCTACTGTCGGCGGCGCGCGTTCAACGTATTCAATTTTATGCGAATGATGGATCAAGTAGCGGCGCTGTTACGAGTAATTGGTCAGCGCGGAAGTAACAATTAATTAGAAAGCGAACTTATAACAAGGGAACGCGTCCTCAAGAGAGAATAGCCTCGAAAGCCTTGGTCGATTTCTATTAACTCACTTGAGCAGATACTTGTAGAGCGTACGAGTCGGACGGAAAGCTGACAGGCAGTTGGACAGCAATAGCCATCCTCGCTCCTTATTTGCGTCGTTTTCATTCTTCCACGTCTGATTGGCCAGCTGACAGAGTATCTCGTCGCGCAGCTTCTCGTTGACGATACCCTTGTTGACAATGTAATCGCCGAGAGCCTGCTCTCTCTTGCCGCTGAGATTGCTCTCGTTCATGAAGCGCAGGATTAGCTTGAAGATCATCAACGAGTCCGTGTAATCTTGATCGCGGGATTTGGCGAGGAAGGGCGTCTTGATCGGCTCGCGCTTCATGGCGAAGATGTGGCTTTTGAAGTAGATGTTGGTGAACTTGGAGAACTGATACTGATCGATATCAGACGGTAGCGAGTAGTTGACTGGGAGAGGGACGACACTACCAACGACCTTCAGCAGATTCCTTTCCGTGTGCGTTGGTTGCCAATCTGCAGGGGCATTTCGAGAAACGTCCAGCGAAAAATATATTATAATGATACATCGACGAGATATTTGTTGACTGATATTTCTTACTGACCATCCAATTTACTGTAGATGAACGCAAGCTCAGCTGGTATCTCTAGATGATTAACTCCGGCAACGGCTCTGGAAGCTCTCTCTTGTTCCTCCCTCTGCTGCTTAGCCTTTGCCCTTTCTCTACTTGCTCTCTCGATCTCGGCGCGTTTAGCCATTTCTTCTTTGAGTATACGGAATTTCTCGCGTTCCTTCTTGCCACGGAATACCTTTTGAGCCATTATGACGCCCTGCTTGAGAGCCTTGTATTTCTTTCTGTCGCGGTAGCCTCGATAAACAGCTTGCAGCAGGATCGTGCTACGAGCGATGTTGAGAAAGCGTCGGCGAGCGAGGAATCCTCTGGTATACCTGCAATAATCATTGTCAAAGTGTCAATTTTTTTAAACCTTTCCGTGTTTTCGGCCAATTACGTCTCATTGTTCGTACCTTTGCACAGTAACGGCAGCGCGTTCCAAAATCAGTGCCCTATTGTACTCCAAAGTTCTCTCGAGTGGTTCTCTCAAGAAAACTCTGCTTAAGCCTAGCTGATACTGCGACTGAGCGTCCTTGGGAGCAGCTTTCTCCAATATGACACGGCACAGCTCCTTGTTAGGTGCTCCGCGTGGCAAACACGTCGGTTGCACGAGATAGCGGTAGCGATCGACAAAGTGAGCGAAGGGCAGTCTGACCGGGTAACCAGTCTTCCGAATACGAATGGTCTCTAGCATACCAGTGTAGCGCAGTTGCTCCAAAACACATGGCATGTCGAACTTCATTGGGGCTTTCTCGCTGTTCGGCTTGATGCAGCGAACGAACCATGGATTACATCTGTCGTTACATTACAAATATTAGCACTGGGTAACGTGGAAAATAGAGTAATCATTCGATGTGATTTGGCTACGCACTGAGACATAGATTCGAGAAGTTGCTGCAAACTGTCGTGGAAGCGAGCTGATACCGTTGGTGTTCTTGGCTTCATCGTGACGAATCTACCGTTGGGCTTGTTGATCGTTTTATTAGCCTCGTGCGCATTTCTCACGTGTTGGAACATTTTGCTGACCATCTGAAGAAAAGAATCGTTATTGGTACGAGTTTGGTGAGTAAAACGAAATGCGATGATTTGTTTGATTCTACCAACATTTATTTTGCTGCTAATGAGCAGTTCGACCACATCCGGCCTGAGAGTGTCCCGGTTCTTATCCAGGAACCCATCAACGTTGTACCAAACTTGTCCTGCGTAGTGTCTGATGGCAAATTCAGCGGAATTCATTCGCGGTCTCGAATACAATTCGCTGAGTGCGTGGTTATAATGGCATTTCTCAAGGAAAGACAAGTCTGTGGCTTTCGGGAAGTTACTCTCGTCATCGAGCAGATGCAAGATACCCACCGGTTTCTTGGCAATCAAATGTATGATTGGCAAGTTGTCCTGAAAGGCAAGAAATGCAAGACGTCGCAGCGGAAGTGCGCAAACATTGGATTCGGAAAATTCCAAATAAAAAGCTCACGGTGTAACTGATAGTAGTCCAGTCGATCTTTTCCTTGGCGTACTCCTGCTGCTCGAGCTTGAATATGTGCTTGTTGAAGTAAAACTGCAGGTTCTCATTGGCGTAGTTGATGCAGAGCTGCTCGAAGCTGTTTTCGGTGAAATTCTCGAAGCCGAATATGTCGAGGATGCAAATGGCAGCGGTTTGCTTGGTGCCTTTGTAAACGATGTGATTGACGCGTGCGACCAGCCACGAGAACAAAGAGCTGTAAAGCGCTTTGGCAAACGCGTCGCGCGCGTCCAGTGCCTGGTCGATGTTCAAAGCCGTCAATACGCGCTCATTTCTCGCTTCCTGAAACACAAAAGAAGCGTCGCTTGGAAATAAAAATGACGGCCGCCGCTTCGCTCCTTACGCTCGCATGAACATTCTCCGTAGTCAATTAGACGCGAGTCGGAAAGGATGGAAAAAATGCAGGTCATCGGTGCAAAAATCGCCTCGCCAATTATTTCGGCGACCGCGAGCCTCAAAGTAAATACAGAGGGCAGGCTGAGCGTGGAGCGAGGGAGCCGTAAAGAAAGCTATTTATGTGAGCGCCTAAAAGCTAAACACTGACCGTGGTCTTGGTCGTGAGGGCTCTGATGATACCGTCCGAGCTAATTTGCAGCAGATGAGCAGCCCAGCGTATCTCGGCGTCGGAGCCCACTTCCACGCCCTCCTGTCCGTGTCTCATCTGCTTGCGATGGAAGTATACGTTGCCGAGGTGCAGCACGCTGGCTAGAATCTTGAATATCGTGTCCTGCTCCTCGGACGTGAAACCCAAGACCTGCATTGCCGATAGGAGCGCCTTGAAGTCTTGCGTGTCGTTTTTGCCGTCTATTTCGCAGCTGCCGCCTTGATTCAGGTAAAAATATTTGTCCGGAGTGAGGAGCCCGTATTTATCGCGAAGCTGCTGGTCCAGTCCCGACAGCAGCTCGTAAAACACGTGGTAATTTCGCTCGTCCTGCGCCTGAGTCACGATCCGGCTCTTCTCCAGCAGATATTGGGTGACTCTTCCACCGACGATGACGCCGCTACGCAGCAAAAGCAACAGACAGAGCTCGTAAATAACCGCGGCTCCTCGCCTGCCCGCGCCTCCGTGTGTGTTTTTGCACTCACTCTCGGAAGAAGACCTCGAGGTACTTTCCGAAGCGACTGCTGTTGTCGTTCCGCGGCGTCTTCGCGTTGCCGAAGCTTTCCAGCAGCGGGGCGGCTTCCAGGATTTGCTCGGTCACGAGGTTGCTCGGCGCCCGGTTCACCGCCGCGAGGTACTGCATCACCAGCTTCGTCGACTCGGTCTTGCCCGATCCGGATTCCCCCGAGATCACCACCACCTGGTTGGCGCTCGCGTTGTTTGCCGCGCTCACTTGGCTGTAGGCCGAGGAGCCCACCGCGAACAGATGCCTGCGAAATCGCCGACAAACGACAATCATGTCGTACTCGTCAAATATTTCATAAGAGGCGTTCACATAAGAATCAGCCTTTCACTTTTGTCCGCGAGTGACGCGCTTAACAAAGCGCAATAAACCATCGCCGTGTCGTATATGCCAAAGAGATGCCATTACACACACGAAAACGAAAGTTTACCGCTCGCCATGTAAACCGAATTTTCGCTTACGGTGGTAGAGTCCCCAGTATCCTTCCCTCGTAGAGCTTCACTTGGTCTATGCCGTAAATATCGAACATTTTGTAAGGATTTACGGCGACTAGGATGCTTCCGGTATACGTCTGCAAAAGACCCAATGGCGATACGAGCTAATGACCAACAGTTATGTAGCGAGCCGAAGAGATAGGCTTTAATTGCACTTACGTAAATGAGCTCTTTGTCGTAGCGAATTTTGAGATTCCATAGCAGAGATGCCTCGCTCAGATCGCTGCAATTAACCATTCGTTGTATATATAGATCGTAAACAGATTTAACGAGGCCAAATGACTTTTTAAACGCTCACTCACTCTAGTTGAATCATGTCCTCCACGCCATTCTGACCCAAGTCCTGCCTCGGCTTCACGCCGCTCAGATTCGTAAGCGTAAATATTTGTGGCTGTAAAAAACCAAACGAATCATTCTCCGCTTTTGTTTTTTATACCGACGAATAGCTGGCAGCGATAATCATCCGAGCGATCGCGATCGCTAGAATTCGTAATTGCCGAGAACGGGTTTATTTTATCTACGCGTATAAAATTCTCGAAGAACATTTAAGCCTTATGCCGTGTGCGTGTCCGTTGAGCCGTCGAAGAAGCGCCGAACGAAATGGAAATCCAGCCAGGACGTTGACACCCAATCAGCGAATCATTCTTGTCGATTATTAGCCGAGAAGCGGGCAAGAAGAAAGAAGTGGCGATCACGCGGGGCCAAGGCCTTTGAGAAATTGTTCAAGCCAGATAGCACGAGGGTAGTACCTCGCCGCACGGCATCCACTCGGCGCGAAGCCACTTAATAATTGTCAACCGGTCAAAACAGCTATTCGCACGCCTACTTTCTGACGGCTGAGCGCGCGGCTTCGGCATTCCTCGATCCCGTCAGCGACATGCAAATTCAAACATACGTGCCGCTGCCACTGCCGCGACCCATGCGTATCTCTCGACCACGAACCGCGCGCACTTTCTACCGGAACGCATTGCCAGATTCGTTGCGCGCGCGCGTGCCCACGTTTCCCGCATCTACGTCTTAATTAAGCTTCGCGTAATCCCCAGAAACGTTCGTAGTTGGCGTGCGGTCGATCAATTCGTCGGATATTAATTGGATACGTGGCTCCTCGCGATTGCTCACCTTGCCGGCGATGACCGCCTGCACCGACAGTACGTTCGCCGCCCTGTGATACTCCAACACCTCTCCGGGCAGCACATGGCCGACTCCTGGGTCGAACCACACTAGTTCACCCTGTAAAATACAAATTTTCATTTAATATACCTTTGCTAACGATTGCCTGTGTGTTTCCTTGCTTGTCGTCGCTTATTTCACGGCACACTTGCGCTCTACATCGAGAAGTGGAGATTGGTCTTTCGTTACGTAAAGGATAGCTCGTTAAAATATGTACGATATAATGTACCGGTGTAATTAATAGTCAGTAAAACGCGAGTGATTTGGCGAATAAAAGAGAAAGAAAAAAAAGTGTTGGCGAGGCACGCCAAGTTCGGTAATTAGCGCCGGTATATATCTATATTAGATCTTGCAGCCTCTAGGCGCGTAACGTGTTTTTGAGGCCAGCCGTATATTGGTGAAACATTAACATTAATCGTGCACTGTTACTAGGTTTATTTTGACTTTGCCAAGGTATTGTTCCGGATAGTTTTCAAATAATGCATTTCTATCATTAGGTGAATATTATATAAAGTGTAACTTCCTTCTAAAACTAAGAATATCGGCGTTGTGAAAGTTATACGTACATTTTTTATGCAATTAGTCCTATCACGTTTGTTCTCTACTTACAGGGGAAAAAAGTAGAGCAATAGAAAGTTATGACGAGAGTTAATAAACGTGGATAATGTGTGTTAAACACACGGCTCGCAAAACAAATATGCATACTCCGCTCGTAGTTTAAACAAAGTTTCAAGCGTTAACGAGGAACTGAACTTTCAAAATTATTGAGCTCTCTCGTACTCTCAGATTATTGCTGAATTTATACACTTTGGAAGTTGTAAAAATGAAGCGACTTCGAAAGTTTATATTTCCTGACTTTTTTATAACTTCCAATGTATTTTCACTCGGATCTCTGTTATGTCGTTGCACAACGTCATTCAACATGATCAACAATATTAATAATTTCTTTTGTGTACATTCAATTAGATTAAATAAATATATGTTATTAGAGAATAACTATGTATAATGATAAAGTTAATAGATCTCAATAAATATTTGCGTAGGCTAAGACTAATCTCTAAGAGTTTCTACATCGCAGTACCACGCGAATCTATATTAAAGTTGTTGCAATCTAATCAGTGCCACTAATAAAATACAATCATCAACTCGAACTCGCACCATTCTCGGAGTTCTGGTCCTACGGGGACACGTCGGAGCCTCTTGGTTAGGAACTGGTTGCTGAAGCTTCCTCCTGCCCGTACACAGTCCGAAGATCGAGTACGGCGTAATTGGTTGATCATTGACAATTGTTCTGGCCCCATTGGTCACGCGGCCAAGACTTTTACTGGCAAAGTCGTCGCGTGGCCTGTCGACCCTCAACGGTATGCAGGAGGCCTTCTTGGTCCTCTTCACATACGACGGCAAACTTTTGGACGATCCGGTAACCATGCTGCCGTCATCAGCGCGAACAGCACTTGCTCTGCGTGGTGGTGCAACGGGCGGAACCTCGTACCAGTGTCCATCTTTGTGCACGGACGGGGCGCGTCGCGGTTTGGTGCTAGGTAAAGTACCGCGAGTGGTGTCCCGCGCCTCCTCAGCGTTGTCGATTATACGTCGTCTCGACATCGTTCGCTGAGGTAGGTTGGGCAGCGACGCGTTCGAACGATAGTCGAGCATGCCATAGTTGGGTGGATCACTCGCGGGATCGCGTATGCTTCGATAGGTTTTGCGCGCTCTGCTCAGAGTCGCCTCCCCGATGGAGCTGGACTCGCCGTTGGGCACCGATATCTTCCGACGACGGATTCGCCCGTAAACCGGCGCCTCTTGCTGTTTATTCGCAGAGTCTTTCGCCATCGTTTTCAGATCCGGTTGCCGCTGCTCGCTTCGATGACTCTTAGCGATCTTTGGCAATGTCGAAGGTCGCGGCACCTGTATCGTCCGCTCGATGTCAACGGTTCTCCACCTGTCGGATGCTCGAGCTCTCGAATTCATCTGCGCAGGCACGTTCTTAACGAAGCAGCCGGCGTGTCTTGATTCCCCTCTCATCTGAACGCTGCTGTACAGAGAGCCGCAAGATTTCCTTCTTAAAGTCGTTTGGTCGGTGGCAGTGCTTGACGTTCGCCGAATGATCTCCTGCCTGGAAATCCTTGTCATTGGCACGAGCGTCATCGTCGGAGCTTCTCTGTCCTTGGCGCTAGCTCTTCGATGCACCGACGGTAGCGTCTTCGGCCTGTCCTCCTTCTCCTCCTCATTTTCAGTCTTGGACCGGCGCAGCTTCTTCCTCAGTGACTGCGTCAGCCGCGTGATCGGATCCTCGCTCTTGGAACAAGTCCTGCGAATGATGTCCTTGCGAGAGATGAGGTGCTCCCTTGGCAGCGTGTGGAAAGATTCGGATTTGGTTCTCGTTTTAGGCTCAGGACACTGGGGCCCACGTCGCCTTGGTGGCGGCACTCTGCGCTCTTCCGCATTCATCTTGCCGGTTGGTCGGTTATTGGCATGCCGGTCGTCGCATTCCCTGATTAGCCGGCCGACGCGCGATCAAACTCGGCGATTCTCTCCAGGCACGTAACTCTCACATTTTCGCTGTGCAGCTCCAGCGTTCTTCTCCAGAGCTCGTCTTTCTTGCTCTCTAGCGCACTGCTAATATCACTCGACTCGAGCGTACAATACAACATCGGCTGTATTAACTGCCGCGGCCAGTTGCACAACTTGAGCGCTGTCGTAATTTGCACGGTTTGTGTGTACTTTCCTAACGGCCAGTGCACACATCCTACGCGTACACCGCTCGCTCGTGAATTATTACAAGTTCGAATATACACATATACGGAAGGTGCCGATTTCTCTTTGTTGGCGTGGAAAAGAAAGGAAGATCCACGAGCCGCTGCTGCTGCTACCAGCAGAGGAGTAGCATGTACTTCCTCGGAGGCCACTGGACAGAAAGACGCGTGTCTCGAAGACGGCGACGATGACAGCGTGTATGACGCGAGCCTTGCGAGTGCGAGCACTGTGATTATACACGTGGGCGCCCCTCCGAGGAGGAGATCACTGGCGGTGAAAGGGCGAGCGGCAAGCGAAACGCGACGGGGGCGGCGACGGCTTTATACACGTCAGCTGCTATCAGGTGACTGTAATGTGCATCGATACGTCGAGAGCTCAGCCACTGGAACTACGGTGAAAGTTTTTATAGCAATCTTCTTTCGGCGGCACGCGTGCAAGCTTCTTCTTCCGCCTTTTAGCCGCTGGTCTAAATAATCCCACATTCCCCACCTGCTTATTTCCTAATCAGGCGAGATTCTGCCTCGTTATTGGCTAACGAGCTGCGCGGATACAAAGGACAACGCCACAGTCTGCTTTGCATAGAATGCTCTCATAATCGGAGTAACCGCGACGCGTAAGCGCTCGCGGCCATTCATCGCGTCACAACTGAATTAACGAGCCGCGCGCGCGCGCGCGAAGGATCACAAAAGTTCGGCGCGCACAATCGCGCCTCTGCCTTGGTACACGGCACTTCCAGGCGAGCGACGAGCGAGCGACAAGCGGCAGACAGTGCGGAGAGAAAAAAAAAAAAAAAAGCGCGACGCGGCGAGTTCGATGCTCGCGCGAGGATGTCCGATGCACTACTGCAACGCGAGCCTGGCTCTCCTTCGCCTCGCAACAATTGCTGCTTATAGCAGTCGAGCCGCAGTGGCGTAAAAGCGCGGTTTCATTTCATAATTAACGGCCCGCGCCTCGCGAGAGAGGCACCTGATTGCCCGCTATACACTCGCTGTACGAGGCGAGCAGACGCGCGCACGATCCCGCGTGACTGTTCGCCGTATGGAGAATCGTCGGCCGACGCGCCGAGATTGGCCCGACGAGACTGATGCGAGCTGCTGCTGCTGCTGCTGCTGCTGCTGCTGCAACGTCCGTACTAAGCCGTGCGAGCTGGGGGAGTCAACGAAGCCTCGGCAAGTAGCGTGCGCGCGTAGGTGTACGCGAGATCGAATGTGCTTTGGGGTGGAACCAAGCGTGAGCGCTGCCGCGCTTATATAAAATCGCTAAATGCAGCCACTGCTACGCGTGAGGCGAGCGCGTTAGGCCAGTCGAGTTGCGCCTTCGGGACCGGAAGCCACGCGAACGAGCTGGACCCTCATCCGTGCGCTTCGTCTCGTTCTTCTTTTACTCTTGGCTTTCGTCGCTCGGAGGTGAGTCATTTCAGGAATATTCTCGCGCGCGCGATCGGTTATCCCGCGAGTCGAAGCTCGATTCCGCGATCCCGCGGCATTGTCGCTCCGCGCTTCCTACACTTCTCTTCTACACTACACATCGCTCGCCACTCTTACGCGCCAGTGAACGCACTCTATTAGAAAAGCCGCTCTGCAAATTTGCGCTCGTACGGTGCATAAGTGCACCCATATAGAGGTAAAGCGTTGCCCTGTGACGTAAGCTGCGCCGCAAACGACGTAGTGCGTACAGCGTAGGAGCACCGCGTACTTGATTATGCTTTCAATCGATGGTGTCTCAGTGTCCTGCGCAGGCTGAATGAAATTATTTTTTTTTCTCTAATAGAAACAACCGACATTAGGCTAATTGACGCGACGGGCAAAGCTGCGATTTTCGTACATTCCGGTAGGCACGCGGGGCTACTTTTATGTTGGCGTAAATTTTAGTGTTTAAATTTTTTTCCTTTTTTTTTGTAAGAGGCTACTTGAATTTTCTGGGAAAAGGTAATATTCAAATTAATAGGTGAAATGTCGTAGGCGTGTAATTTTCTCTTGCTCGGTTACCCAAGCAACGTCAATCATCGCGAAGATACGATAGTTATCTTGCTCTTGCGGGGTATTTTTCGACGGGGCTTTCGATGCCACGCGTAGCATAACGAATAATTATAAATTTTGATTAGTACAATCAGCACCTACGCGCAGGTGTTGCGAAAATCAATCGGATAAGATGCGGGAAGTACGAACGAAACGTTTTACGTAACACCGACGTTGCTCAATCAAAGTGATATAAAAATTCCTCGAAGATCTTTATTAAAAATCAACAGCACCGGCGATGCCCGCTTCCGCTATCCCTGTTTTACCATCAGATCTTGTAAACACACGAAGCGTACGAGCCAGTACTTCGAGGAATTTGCTCGCTGGAAAGTGCATAGCAACGGATCCCGACGATATGGTTTTTCATCGCTACTCGAGTTTTTCGCCCGCGACGCCATTTGTTTTCCTCGGCCACCTTTACGTAAAAAGGTCGAACCCTATCGTTAAGAGAAATTCAGTTGAATTAGCTGTTTTTGTTCTCTCGTGGCTCTTAAAAATCCGGCTATACCGTTAGTTGCATGTAATAATTTGCAACTATCGAAGTGCTAAAGAATGTTGACGATGTTTTCAAGTAGAAAAGGCATGCGACGTTGCTCGCGGCAAGAAAGTTGAAGTGCTACGCGTGTGTGTCTATGGGAACATTTTATTGGGCATTGCACGCTCGTCGAACAATCTTGAGAAAAGCTTTTTGTTTATTTCGCGCTGCCAATTCAATTACACGCGCAGTTTTACTTTGCTTCGTTCAACGGCTTTGGGAATTGATATCGGTTCCAAGATTTACAGATGGCTCAATTTCACCACATAACTTGATGCTAGATAATTAATCTATTCAAAGTCGTCGTTAAAATGGCAGCTATACGAAAGCTATTGAACTATAAATGCGGCCAACGCATTATCACTTGGACAAGAGTATCCGCTCTGTGCTTGTAACAATTCAGACCAAATCCTTTATCTTTATGTTGGACAATATTACATTGTACATTGCATTCTAAAAATAATGAAATTTACAAGTTATTGGATTATCTTGTTTTGAAAAATCTTATAAAACTCTGATTATCGGTGAAACCGTCTAGAAAGAATGCCCATAAAAGTTCACGAAATCACACTAATATTAAAAAATACGTACATAAAAGCTTGAGAATTCCGTTTTATAGGAATCATAAATCAGAGTAGCGATGAATCGTATAGGGAATAGCGTCGCGTGTGCAGTTATTTCTTAAATCGTACGATCTCAAAGTAGTGGGTGCTGTTATCATTTTGATAAATACAGTAAACTATCGCATAATTGAATATTGAAAAAGCTCGTGCAAATTGAAGTTTTAAACTATTTCTATAAGTAGCTCTGACGAGAACTTTTGTTGGTCAGTCTGCCGTGCAGAAACTATCCAGGCAGAATAAAAAACAAGCCACCCCTGAGAATATAAATCTGGAAAAATTCGCCAAGTCTCAAGCTATTCGAAAAATCTCCATTAGCTATGTCGAACTTATCTTTGAAGCGATTTCATAACCGCGTCGAGATTCCATTGGCGCCCATAAGCAGCGGCAACGGAAGGATCATCAACTCGCGCGGCACACGTGGTCGCAGGGTGGGGGTCTTGTGCCGTTAAGCGACGTGGCGGCGGCGCCGCGTGGCGATGGCTTCGGGTTAACGACGCGCGTAATTGATGCAGCGTCGCGCTTGGTCAAATACCTCCGACAAGTCGCAGTCCTTCTCTTCTCTCATGACTCGTGGTGAAAGTAGCGTCTTCGTCGTCGATAATAGTCGCGCGAATTTCAGCGAAACTTTCTTCCATTCCCACGAAAAGAAAATGATCCACAACTAGCGGCTTTGCTTCCCGATTTTTTTTTTACCGAGGGAGGGCGAGGTCCTTGTCTGCTCGCGAGAGTTGTGATTTCGAGATTCATTCGGAGCGCTTTCATTATTTACTTAATATGAGCAGTCGTTTAAACATCAAGTGAATCGCGGTTGTGACGCGCGTTGATACTTTGGGGACTATTGTTGAAATAATCAAACAATTGTTTCGTGTTAGCAGTCGACTGCGAGAGCAGTATTATAAAGTTCGTTTTCTTCTGCAACGCTAATGAGTCAGCAAATAAATTAATTTTTGTTCACATAATATGATTAATTTCAAGAATGGGTTATCGTATCGCGAGGCTCGCATGCTCATTGGCAATATATACATGTGAGCGCACGATTGCTTTTGCTACCTGTCGGATATTATCATGACAAGTTATCGTTTGAAATTCGTTTACAGCAATATTTAACATCGAACGTATTCACTATACACTGTACACGAATGACTTCGATATATGTATTTTTTGGCGATGTATAAACGAGCTAGGATAAGGGAAGTAAAGGCAAACGATCGCACATGATCGGAAAGTATCAAAGAGAATAAAAATGAGTCAGTAGGTCATCGGCCGCGGCGATAAAAGCCAACAATTCGTCGTGCGTGGTGCACGAGAAAGCCGCACAACGCCGGCGGCTGAACTGCATACGCGCACGTACACGCCGAGCAAAATCTCGCGCGTGTCGAAACTCACCTTCTGCCACTCGCTATGCATTTTTCCGCACCGAGTCGTCCGTTAAATGCCACTGCCACGGAGATTCGCCCTCATTTTCTCGTTTTTCGTTCGGTCACAGCAGACACCTGCAAGCACACAGACACAAAAGAGACGTGAATGACTCGTTCAAAGTGCGCGCGTGCCTCCGAGTGTAAATTACATAGCTCCTCTGCGCGGGTAATTGAAAATGTTGCCTCGGGAATTTATTTATTCCTTTTGGGAATGTGCTGTTGATTAATTCTCCACGCAGACGATAAATCATTATCTTTCTAGTGCACGCGGCGCAGCCTCTCCAGGTGAACTTGCGCAAATGAAATGATTGGCTACAGGCGAGTTTGCGCAAAGTTTCCGCGGAGTTCAGTTGGAGCTGGATGACTTTGTATGCAAGTTGCACATGCACGAACGCATGGCGACAAAATCTAGTATTTTATGGACACTTAATACCAGAGATTGTGAAGGGAAAAAATACATTGTACACTTCGAATTGGCTAATGTTTCTTCGAGCGACGAAACCACGCGAAAATTTCAAATTCAAATGAGCCTATTGTATTGCTCGAGCAGCGATCCTTTTTCTTTTCCTCGTCGCGAATAATCTTTGATTAATTAATCGTGTGTTCAACGAATAAATTCGATAAAAGGCAAATTAAAGTGCTTTAGATATAGCGAGATTGCTCGAGCATCGAGACCGATAAAATGGCATTCCCCTCTCATGTGCACACATGTGCGCAGCTACGTGTGTCAGAACGACGAACTTTGCAAGAGAGAGGAAGAGAGAGAGAGAGAGATAGAGACAGACAGAAACGCAAGCATTCCTAGAGCCACGTCGATTGTCACTCATAACTCTAACGGATTGTATTCCGGCCCGCATATCATTGCCCCGCACGCGACTTCCGGCTCTCCTTCGTCGTTATATACATTGCAAAAAGTGCCTAAGAGTCTGTCGCACGCACAAGCATCGCAGCATATAAAGGCATGCAGCAACCATAGCATCATTCCCTCGCAATTAGTTACACTTAGTAATGTCGCGTATACGTGGGATGATAGGCGAGCTGCCCGAGAAGACAAAAAAAATTACGGAGCGAGCTCACGGGGAGATCAGTAGTGACACTTTACTGATAAGCGTTACTTGGAATTTACTATATAATCACGAATTCGCTTTGAAGCTCTAGTTATAGGCGATCGGACCTAATCAATCTAAGGATTTTTACTTTGCCTTCTTCAAATAAAAGCTCTAGAAAGCTCTCGAGACGTAAACCAACGATGTGCAAACGTCATTGATATATTCAAGCTCTGCAACTTAAATTCATACTCACGGTTCGAAAATAACATCTCGGCAGGATTTTCAAAGCTCGCGGCAGCACGAAATCCGGTGTATTATCGTATACGCTTATACAGCAGGCGGCGAGAAGCGTATAGGCGCGAGAGCGAGAGCCGTGGCCGAAGTAGCCGTAGCGAGAGGAGTAATATACAGCACGGCCTTGGAGGAACGATTGGAATGTGGATCTTTCTCTTGCGTTCGTTCGCGAATGGAGAAGAGAGCCAATGTCAAGCGGCCACCGCCTCGTTCTTTGCCAAAGTGAAAATGCGGCCATGCGCATGCAACTGCCGCCATCGAGTACGTGAGTTAGGTTCAAAGCGCGCGCGTACATGTACCGATCTGCTTTTCTTTTTCATGTTCTCGGTTACTGGGTTCGACGCGAGCTTCGACTTTTAATTTCGCGAACAATCGGCTCGTGCACATTCTGAAATTCGTTCGACTAGCAATCACTCATGCCCAGCTCGATTAATCCGTCGATACTCTTTCTTCGCGTGCAACATTCCGAGATTGAAGTCGTTGGATAATAGGCGTCAATTTCGCGCAATCCAACAATACTGCACTCGTACGAGCTCTCGCGCGCATTCAATTTTCCTCCTCTCACACGCCCATATCCCGCTCGCGACACCTAATTATACTCTCCTAATTTTGCATGCGCCCGAGATCACTTCACAGCGGCGCGCTTATGCTTTCAGCGAAAGAAAAAAAAAAGCTGCCCTCGTATTTCTCGGTTAAATGCACAGCTAAGACTCGATACGACTTTCATAAATCGCGATAAACGCGCAGCTCGCGGCAGCTGCTGCTACGGAACTTGAGAATGCGTTTTCCGTTTCGCAATATTATGCTAATAAACAGCCAGCAGCAGCAGCAGCCGCACGGGTGAGTAACGCTTGCGCGCAAACCCAGCTGGACGCGAAGTATGCGCTCCAGATTTGCTCCCTTACTGGCGCAACTGTAACGGAGCAAGCGCGATTGTTGCTTTGTTTTTTTCACGATTAATTTTCTCTCTCCGAAATCGGCATCCCTCTTTTCGCGACTAAATCTGATCGTTGGTGAGAATTCGGTGAGCGAGAAAAGTACAGGTTAATAGGCAGAGAAGAGGCGAAAAGACAAGCAAGTTTACACTGTGTTTACGCATGCATAAACACGCTATGCAAAAGCTCTGTGGGTAATTATGCTAAAAGACTCATTTAACTGTCACGCTCCTCGGTTTTCTCTCATGAAACTATAAGCAGCAACGACGACGAGAAGAAAAGGCAATCGACAAGCGAGGTTCGCTTTTAACGCCAATTTTAACAAACATCGTATTGGCGCAGGTTATTTATTGCACTGCACGGTACACGATAAATCGAGCGTAATGAATTTGAAGAAACCGATCGGCTGCGGCGACCAGCGATAGCCGTGCAGCTTCCGCGAGCCATTATAACCAAATTTACGAGCGATGCAAATGAACGCGAAAAAGAAAGCTTTAGAAAAGGATAGGCGTGCGCCATCGGCGGCTACACCCATATACATGCCGGCTGCGAGCGCGAGCTTGAACAATAGATACGCGCGCCAACTGGATCTTTCGTCACATTCGCCGCCACTAGCGAATTGTCCATTGTGCCAATGCAGACGCAGATGAAGCCAATCCCTTCTCGGGACAGTCCATTTTCTAATTGCTCGTTCCGCAAGCGCTTCGTTTGTCGAAATGTTCAAGCGGAGTTTCGACGATGTACAATGACGCGGTTTCGCCTCTATGTAGATCGGCTTGTACGCGTTTGTAGCTCATGACCTTTGTCGTGAGAATGGATCATTGATCAAAGTTACATTTAACTCATGCGCCACAGACTTGCTACAGACACTGACGAAGCCACTCGGATGTGGTCTGTCCCGCGGCTAATTCGTCAAAGCAGCTCTCGCGTGCTGCTCGTATAATCAACTCATCAAGTACGTTGAGAGTCTCGTGGCCTCGGAGCTGACGCCGTGTGCGAAGAAGCATTTTAGAATGGATAAATCGTTGAGGCGAGGACTCGCTGCATTCTTACCGTCTGTCTCGAGAGCGAAACGAAAAAGCGCATTCCATCGTGCCTAGTTTGTCAGCGACTATATACACACATCATCCACGCGAAATGAACGGATTAAGATTTGTCTTGAGAAATTTGAAAGCGCTACAGGAGGGATCTCTTTGGATTCATGACTGTTAAATAATTATATCTGATGATGATACCGCTAAGGCAAGATTGAGCTTTGACGAGATTTACTTATTAATATGCTCGATAAAGTGGCGGTTGATTGAAAATCTAAAATATAGAGCTTGCAAATATTTTATCTGAATTTTTTTACAACATTTGAAGCAATCTTAGTCAATTATAAAACAAGAAGGAAATGGTCGCAATTACCTTTTGAAATTAAAAAAAGAACATTTATGACGATGTCTTTTCCGCTGCTTAAAGTTGTTGCAACAAAAGGAATATACCAGTCGTTGGCATTAAATCCCGGAAGAAGTATTCCCTTTCGAATCCACTCTCTCTCTCTCTCTCTCTCTCTCTCTCTCTCTCTCTCTTGCGCGCGCTTGCTCATTCCCAAACAAATAAATAATTAGTTATGACTAGGCCAAGGGCTTTGCCCCACAAATGGACACAGGATATGCGCAGGAAATGAGGATGAACAAGCAGAGACGCTAACGAAGCGGTCGTGTATCGGGCCAGACATATAGAGAAAGCAGCGACGGCGCCGATGGTATATAAACAAAGAGAGAAGATATAGGATGCGCTGACTATTGCGCTTACATAAGTCTACGAGCATAATCCGGCTCATATTGTCGCACACGGAGCCACGCGAAAAGGGAAATTTCATTGTCTAAGTGAGCCACTCTCAAAAAGTCGCGTGAGATACGGGTGTATTGTGGGCCTACAAGCCAATTGTGCAAACCTTTGGGGTTCGGTTCAAAGCGCCACGTGCATTGCAAATACACTTGTAGATCAGCGATTTCCGGTTCATTTCCGTGGCAAACGATGCCAATAGTCACCGTTCGCGTTGTATTTCTACAAGGCGGAAAGGAAACGACAGAACAAAAAGAAAAAACAAAAACAAAAAAGAGCCGCGAGTGCTGCACGTTTTTTTCCATCGAGGGAAACGAGAGCGCGAGCGCGGCTCTCTCTATTAGCTACCGGCAGCTATCTGACGAAATACATGCGGTTTTCTCGCTCGGATAGCCGCGAGGCCGATAACTTTTTCTCGCGAATACACATCAAGCTTGCGGATGCGCTTTTTTGTTTTTTCATTTTTTCCCATTGATTCGTCCCCTCCCAGTGTGATCCGCGCGCCGCTACGTATACCGCAATACTTGATTTCATACGACTTTCGATTTCGCGCGCGCGCTTGCACACTCCGCTCATATTTCATTCGGTTCGCGGGCGCGAGAGAGACACTTTTTCGCTTTGCTCCCGCTTTGCCGAATTCCGTCCGGCTAGGTTGTTACGCGCGCACGTAAAGCCATCAAACGAGTATGCTGCATGCGCGCCGGGTGAATTATCTCGATCGGCCGAGCGCGCGAGTACGCAACGCTGGCGAAAATCGGGTGAACCACAACGAGCACTTGCGAGAGAGCACTTCGAGCGCGCGCAGAACGCACAAGGTGCGCCATTGATAAGGCGCCGCTTATCGCGTTCGACTTTTCGGTCGGACGCGCACGCTCGCGGGAATTTCAATGCTCGCGCGACTTGCATAGGAACGACCGTTCGGTCTCCGCGAGATTCCATTCGGCTTGGCCTCATTCCCCTTTTTCTCTCGTTTCTTTATGAAGTCGCGCGCATCTCGAGCGACTTCGCTCGCGCACGAGAATAGTACGCCGTCAAGCTAAGAATGAAGTATTCAGCGGCGCGGCGCTGCCAATGCAATGTTTCATTGAACACGAAAGAATGCGGCTGTATAAATTGACAGGGGAAAAAATGTGGGTCGAGAAACATTCCTCTACGCGAGACGACCTTCGGATGCCGTACCCGCTCGTGTGTCCGAGAAAAATGAGTCTGCGGCTGGCGCGTGATAACGAACGTCGAGGAGCTTAGCGCGTCGCGTCTGTCGGGCATTTCGGGTCGCGCGAGTTTTCTTTTTTTTTTTTTTTTTTGTGGCGGCGGCCACACGACGCGCGGAAGGAGGCCGTCCGACGGTGCGCGTGTGTGTCGCTACGCACAATCGCCTCCATTGTGAAAGCGTATAAATGTTTTATCGATCATCCGACGATTTATCGTCGGGGAATACGCTCTCCGCTGCTGACACTTTTTACACGCCGACTGCGCACCGCTGCTACGCATTTGAATTTTAAATTGTCCGCGCACTTTTTTCCTCCCTTTTTGAAGTCAACCGGTAGTACGATGGTGGCTCAACTTCCCTCCTTATATATATACTTCTTTTTGTTCTCACGCTTGAGTACGGTTAATTTTTATGCCCACGCGAGCTGAGCGACTGTATGATGCATCGTGAGAAGAAGAGAAAAGCATGGCCGCGAGTGCTTGAGCAAAGTGGAATTTACTTTTAAACGTTCGGTTGAAAAGCTCACACAATTGGCATTTTTAAATCTAAACTGGAGTGACTCGATCGCTATGCACGATATGATCTTGACTTTCGATTGTTGTATGGGGCAAAAGTGTGGAGATCATGTGCTCTACCTTACAAAATAGATATGCGTATATACTAAATCGTCATGACGCATCAGTTCCAACGAGCGAAGAGAAAGTTTAACTATCGTAATTGAAGAAAAAAAAAAGGAAAAAGAAAATAACAACCACGTCGCATCGCATCGAGGAAAAAAAGCAGGACTTTGCGCGTGAAATTAACCTGGCTGTCAACGATCAAGATCTATCGCGCGCTGAGCTTTGAGCAATGACTCGTTGGCAAAATCGATGCTCAACGAAGCCACGCGATAATTACGAGTTACGAGGGCAAAAACGGAACGATCAGCTGTGTTGCATTGGAGCGAGCGATCGAGGGACAATGTCCGCCCGAGCAGATATATGTATAATACACGCGTCAACGGCGGAGAGAACACATCGTAGAAGTTAGCGGGAGAGAATTACGATAACGGTCTGCTTTGCCCGTTAATGTCGTGCTCTCTTTTGCCGGTGTGTATGTGTGTTCTCTTCTGTCTCAACAGACAATGTTATGTGCGCGCGCATGGTCCTTGCACTGATCGTACTTTCACCCGATATCGTTGCTTTTTGCACATCTCTCTCGATGCTGATGACGACGATGCCTCCGCTTCGCGCGTCGAGCCTGTGGTCACCTTGTGTGCACGTGAGTCATTCCTCCTCTCATCGCTCTCTTGTCTCGCAAGAGGCTTATTTCGTGTGTCGATCGATCGGCTTTCAACTTTTTTCTTTGTAATTATCGGCGAGGGAAGGGATGAGTTTCGTTTGTAGACAGATCGTAGGATAACGATCTTGGCGAGCCAAGTGATCGACTCAATTGCGCACCGTTAGACGCGAGTATTCGAAGACTGCGTGTATCTTATTTGCCGCGGTCACTCTCGCGAGTTTGAATTTTTCCTGCGGGGGAACTCTTTTTCCTGGCCGATAAAAGGGGACAGCCACCTCGAAGCGGACCAGCGACGGAGGTCAGACGATCGTCGTCCTATTTTCGCAAGCACATATCTATGCAGGTGACGACGACCAGCAGTTTCGTCACGTCGCGCGCAATCGCGCGGCACACGCGAGCAGAGCTGAAACGCGACGCGTGCGCCCGCGCGCCAAGAGAAAGGATCCTCCGCCGATCCTCTGCCGGCGATTTAATTTGCCTCTTTCCCTCTCGTTGCAGTCGCGTAATGCGCGCAGCGTACGCGGCAAATCGCGCGCTTAGCTCTTATTCGGACGCGGCGCGCCGCACGGCAGCCGCAGCTGCAATGCACTTTTGCAACGCACGTGTGGGAATCGAATTAAAGTGCCGATGACGGGGCTGAGGTCGCGAGGCGCAAAATGCCGCGCGGCAAAGTATTTTACGAGCGTGGCAAATTAATGATTTCGACGGTATGCCGCCGCCGTCGCTGCACCGTAAATACGCTTTACTGCCAGATATCGCGTGCTTTCTCTTCCGCGCTAATGGCTGGTTCGCCTTTATCTTTTCGGTTTTCATTAGTCCGCGGGTGACATAACCCGCGCCGCTGATCGTTTTTCTCTAGCTGGCTTAGAGAGCGCAGATGCATCGCGAGTCTCGACGCGCACGCGAGGAAGAGGGGCAACGCTACTCGCAACTCTCATGTCCGTTTGTTTACAATCGCTCGATAGCCGCCCAATACTCGAAGCCTCTTCCTCGATATAGACGTGCGGTTTTAGAGGAATCTAAAAGGCGACACTTGACTGTTAAAGGAGTCTAAACCGGCCATTCAAGTATCCCAACCGGACGTCGTGGCCTCTCTCTTTCTCTCGCTCTTCGGCTCGCGCTGCAGGGGAACGATTCTCTCTCTCTCTCTCTCTCTCTCTCTTTCTCTCTCTTTCTCTCTCTCTCTCTTTCGACTCACCTACACGTCGCGAACGTTTCCACTCGCAAATTATCTTTGGCCAAGTCTTCGTCGTCGAGTCCTTTGAAGCACTGAATGCATTCGAAAAACACACGACACACAAGAAACAGAGGGACGGCGATACTACGGTGTATGGCGAACGCTAAGACGAGATGGTAGCGTTCTCCGCATACAACACTGTATCACGCGCGAGGACAGATTCGAGACTGCACACACACGAGAGGGTCGGTCGCACTCTCGGGAGATACGCGGCGCTCGACGCGGAGTGGTATGCCGCTGTGCCGCCACCGACCTCGCCTAGGTGAGTTGAGAGCGCGGCAGTCGGGAGAGCGCGAGTGCCTTACGGGCCAGGTAGAGGCAGGAGAGAGAGAGAGAGAGAGTCACCACGTGGCGCCACCGTCCACCGTCAGCCTGTTCCTCTTTCCAAGTCTCTGTAGGCCTACCTGTGCTAGTCTGTGTACGTGTATACCGTTACCAGACGGGAACGCTATATACTTTTGCCTCTTGCGCCTTACAGTGTGTGTGTGTGTGTGTGTGTGTGTGTGCACCTGGGAACGCAGAACCCATACAACTATAAGCCAAGCAGAAAGAGAGGTGGAGACCAGCAGAAGACTCGGGAGAGAGAGAGGGATCTTTTTTTTTATTAATTTGACATCCGATCGGTTTCGATTACTCCTTTGCGAACATCCTCTTTCCTCGCTCTGCGTTTTGGAATCGATTGCCGGCGTTCGCGTATGGGCCTTCACTTTTCGACTTCCCTATTTGTCAATATCGCCAACTGCCGAGTATAGATGCATACCACGGAACCTGCGCGAGCCAGCGAGTGGTAAGAGAGCGCTCACGCACACCAGTCGAAAGATCCAAGGCGAAGCTGCACACATTCCGATTGCCTCCTCCTCTCTCTCTCTCTCTCTTTCTCTCTCTCTCTCTCTCTTGCTCTCTGATTGCTCGATCTCCTCTCTTCGGATTTTACCTGTGCTCTCGCTTCTCGTTTCGGATTACTCGACAGGTACATGTACGCACACATCTTGTTGGTCCTTTGGACGTTGGCCGCCTGGCTTATTAATTGTCAGGCAAATACATCACACGCAAGGGTCCCGCATCTGAGCCCGATAAGCATGAATTATAAGTCGAGCGACGTGGTATGTCGGTACCGTTTGATACGCCGCAGCTTTGCGAAAATTTTTCCCAGTAATAATCGTTCAAGCCTGAGATATTTTATTTCGTAATATTAATCGTCGATGATTCTCTTACGAGACAGATGATTAAATAATTAGATCGATACACGGACAACGTTAAAGTCCAATGGATGCTGTTTGTAAGCTATAAGTTTCTAACGATATACTCGAACCTTGAGTACAACTGTCAATCATCGCGTCCAAGCTAACAGCTTCATTTTGGTATATTGTAAGTTGTACTAATGCTAGTTGTAAATTACGTGTGTTATTTTCGTTTATTGAAAATTCTTTGAAAAGTATATCCTCGCCTTTTGCGAAAGTAAAGGAAAACGATCAAGAGTGCATGATGAATAGTCATTTCGACGTGTAACTAAAAATTCAATTTTTGTTTCAGAGTACTTAATCACTTAATAATGTTTGAGAACACACTGATGAACCGTAATGGGAATAAGACTGCAAACCGCATGGCATTCACCTTGAAAGGATGCACATGAATCATCGTGTACTTTTTGTACCTCTGATAAATGAAATTAAGCTCGTAAAATTTGTCTTCGGCATGAACAAAGGCGCAATACACATTTCGTATACTTTATGATTAAATAGCATGGTCGTCTATGTGTACGACATAATGGATATGTTATAGTAGTTAAGATGATGAAGCTAATGAATATTCCAAGTACTTGAAAACTTTGTCAGACTTATACCTTGTTTCGTTTGCTATGTTTCAACATTTTTCAATCTCGTGAGAAAGCATCTTTAAAGCATAATGCATTAATCTAAGTTTCAATGTTTTCTCATAATTTATGTGAACTTGACATAAATCGCGTAAAACATGATGAAGAAACAAGAGTATTTTTCAGCCAAGTATAGGAAGCCATGAGTTTTTTTTTTCAAATTTGAACAAAAATGTTTATCTGCTTTTTTTCGGTTAATGGCACTTACGCTACTTGGACAACTGACAAAAGTATAGCCATCATCATATGTTACTTTCCACCAGTTGCCACGAGACGTTCATAGTACATTCTGACTTTCATGAGTACTGAAAATAAAAAAATAATCGTAATAGAGTAATTTAGATTTATGACGAGTTAAGCGTAACTAACTAAAGCATAAAAATAATCGAGTTGCATATGAGCAAACGTGCAATACCGTTGATTGAAATTGGCTTCTTTTGTGATCTCTCGAGTTTTATTGCGGTACTAAAGGGTGAGAGCGCTGATGAAAGGAGTCGAATGATTCAACTATTGCCTTGAGGGCTGATCTCGGATGGTATGGCTTTAGCAGGAATTCGTTCAGTAACGTCTCATTGGTCTCTGAAAAATAACACGTCAAAAATAATTATGTCTTCGCTTATAGATTAATCAGTGTCGTTCCATTCATACCTTACGTCTGACCGAATTTCACGCGAGAAAGTAGAATGCACGTATTTTTTCACGCACGCTCGCAAGTTCAAAGGCGTCTCTTTCTCTTCGCTGTATCGTAATGACACGTTTGCAGCTAATCGTCGAGGTGATCGATGCCTTAAAAAACGTCAGTGATCCGCAGGCATTATTGCGCTATAAATAATTAGCGAGCGCCGATGCAAGGCCCGTCTCGGCGCATCTCAAGTGAGCGGTCATCGGGCGCGAGCGAGAGAGCGAGTGGACGCGCGAAGCGCGGCGAGAACGCGACATGACAAGCTGAAAGATTTCGCATGTTAACTATCGCGCGCGTGTACGAGCGATAAAAGATAGGCGTGCTTGCGCGGAGCTGCAACGAGGCAAAAGCCGACGACTCATCGATCTCCAGCAGCGCGTCACAGCAACGCACCAACAGCTTGCCGTTCTCACGCGCGTCTCTCGCTCACCACTCACTCGGCATACACTCGCGCATAATAAAACCGCGAGTATAACGAACCCGCGTGTATAGACCGTGCGACGCCGCCGCCGTCACCTCCTCCTCCTCCTCGCGAAAACTCGTCGCATGAAAAAACGCGTCTCGCGAGTGCGCGGCGCTGGGCGAATAAGGTCGCAAGGATTATCATTCCCCATTCACCGTTTTCTCTCTGTACTACGCGCGCGCCGATCCTCGATCCGTTATTCACTTTCTGGCCACCGCCACTGCCGGCCTTCTCTCTCTCTCTCTCTCTCTCTCTCTGTGTATGTGTGCGTGTACGTACATTTGAAATGTGCACCTGTGTACCGTTACATTTATTGACTTTAAAACTTACGAGCTGAACGAACTACGAGCTTAAGGACGCCGCCTCGGGCCGTTTTCGCTGAGACGTGCGATTTTTCGTGCGCCAAACGTTGATCACCATCGGCTTCTTCGACTAGGATTTGGTCAAAAATTTTTAAGTAATCGAAGTTTATTTTAGGTAATGATTTTACAGCTGTTTGATTCTTATGTATCCCTACTCTTGAATATTAATTGATTGATTTTCTAAATTTTAATTGATTATAATTTTTGCTTTTTTAGTTGATTGCAATCTTCCGAATATTTGAACGATGCCTTTTTATTGGTTCGTAATTCCTGCGTTGGTTACATGCCCCCGACTGAAGGTACGGATATTCACTGCCGGTAATATAGGTTTTAACTATATCACTTAAGGATCTACAGGATATTCGAATATGGTGCAGTAGATACTTATGAGGACTCATTTAGAAAAGAAAGAGACCAAAAGATGTCAGCAGCCTTAATTCGAAAGATTTGTATTTTGGAGTAACATGGCAATGTATATTTCATATAAGCCAATAAAATCACCATTCATTCATTATATTTTGGAATAAATCACATAAATGAAATAAAAATATATTTAAATGAAATATAATAAAGATATTCGTACTATGAGTATATCCAATAATTGTTACTATTTTAATTAATAATTTTCCAATAAAAGCCAATTGAAATATGATTTGATAAAGCTTTTGGAAAGTAACTTTTAAGCCGAAATTTATGTTGATAAACATATTTCCATTATTCAAGCTCAAAGCGATAAAATAAAATAATTATTGATATTCCAGATATGCTGCTAAGTAGGTTAATAATCAAACTATTGAACTTCAGCGAAGTACAGTGTCTGAATTAGTTTAGTTCATATTCTAGTTTCTACGACGATACTCAAGTTATACACAACGAAACAACCTTTGGATCAGGTTACGAACATAATATCTATTTCAAAATAATTTCTTTCCTATGTCTTAATGATTTCTTTTTTGACAGCAAATTTCATTATTTGGAATTCTCAAGAGTCGAACAAGAATCACGAAAAAAAGAAAAATATATCAATATGAGAAATGGATATTGTATCAGCGTAAGTAGCTGTAGTGATGTTTTAGTGCAGAGCCCTGCGAAATTTTATATGATTGATATGGATGAAGCGCTTGACGTTTGATATCCGCTCGATTTGAAATGGAAAATCGAGTCTTGGATTGAGTTCGCACGTGAGTTGAAATAAAGTTGAGCCGTGGCTCGAACTTTTTCACAGCACCTGCACATCGCATTTACATTACGGATGTAACCGTTACCTTAGCATATATCATATATTTTTACTACGGCAAGCTCAAATGCTTGGTTAAACTGTTTTGATTTCCCTTTGAATATGCCAGTATTGAAAGATAATACTTTGTGCAAAATAGAAACGCAGAATCAAGTTTGTAAAAGTGTTTTTATTAGAAAAATGTTATGGAAACTTTGTTCGTCAATATTCATGAAATTATTCCAGCTGAAAAGACAGTTTGAACTAAAAAGAGCAATCCACTTAGCAAAAGGAAATTTGCAAGGATGAGGAGGGACGACACAATGACAACGTTAAGTCGAAAATTCGTTGACCCGCAGTACGTATATTGTACACGTAAGACTTTAAATCCGCAGTCTGTTAGCGACATGGCCGAATAATGTCCTTAATGCCGAAAAGGAGCGCACGACAGAGACGTGGAGACGGCTGAATTTATGTGTCGGCGAGGCTCACTCCCTAATCGAATCTCTTAACATTATTATAC